GTCCTTAAATGCCTTTGGGATAAGCATCCAAACTTTCAGCTCATTAACCAAACCAGATCTCTGACCATATTAGGGTTCACTCATCCCTCACAGTTGCAGAGTCATAGATAGTGGGAAGGGAAAAGATTTACTAGGTCATCCAATCCAACTCCCTGTCTAGGCCCCAAAAAAAAGTCAGTGGGAGTTTTGCAATTAACTTTGGTGGTGCTGGAGCTTTACCCCTAGTATTTCACCCATGCACATTTTGTAACATTATTGACCTACCATAAATTCCTAATAATATGTTGCTTTCAGCCACATTCGTGTGTGTGTGTGTGTGTGTGGCTGTGGGGGGAATAGGTGATATTTATTATTGTAAGAAAGATTGCTTACTACTGGAACTGTGTGCTAGTCACTGGATCTTATGTTTTCAGACCTGTTCAGATCTCTCATTGGCACGATGGCATACCTCTTTAGACTAGAGTTATCTAGGCCTTCTGGCTTAGCTGGCAACTTGCTTTGCCCATTGACCCAACAGAACCTTTGGGAATGTGGAACCCATATTTCGCCACAAAATATTTCTCAGCCTGAAGTGCTTTTCAGAAGCTATTTGAAATAATGGGAGGGGGGAACCTAGCATTAAAAATAGTGAAATATTGCTAGTATACAGATGATCCATGATTTGACTTGTTCAGACTGACATACAACTAAAATTTCCAAATGTTTGAATTATCTGGCCCCCGCACCGATTAATGATGGTATTTGACTACCCTGAATGTACATATTTCTAAAAACCACAAAAAAGTTTTACTGCCAGATGAGTCACTTATGATTAATATCTGAAATTTACTAATGCTTTGCATCATTCATCTTCAACAAGCTCTTTAAACTTGACTCTGAACGTCTGCATCCTTCTGGTGCAGGTTTATTTCATCCATTCTCCCAGTCATAAAGAAAATTAATTGTCATGGATTTTTGGTTACAACGTCCTCTTATTTGCCCCCCTCCTCTTCTTATGTGCAGCTGTTTTAGAAATCAATGTGTGTTTACTAGGAAAGTGTTTACTAGGAAAGTGTTACTCCCTTCATACCTCATCTTTAAAACAGTTACAAAAATTCAACTGCTGTATAGTATATATATACCAAACTGAAACCCTATGGCCAAATTTAGCCATAATCTATCAAGGTAATGGGATTTTGTGAAGTGCTTGCATTCTGCTTTTAAGAGGCCCTGTAAATCTTTCCATGTTTCCCTTGATTACTAGCTCTACATGAACTTTTATAGCCTTCCCTTGTCCAGTTGTGCTAAAAGTTGTGACCCAGATGGTTCTCTTAACTTTCTGAAATGCAGCCTGATATGAAAATAATGAGTGCAATGTAAGTAAATTAAATTAAATAAAAACTTATGTGGCCTAGATTGTCAGCTCACATTTGACTTCATCTCAAACACTTACAGTCTGAATGGACCCATTTTTCAAGATCTTTTGTGCACCACATCTTTAGGAGGGACAAACCATTCCCTATGCAGCAATTGCTTTTGTAGCTGGTGAAATGATCCTTTTGTAGTATGTGTATAAATTTAGTTTTATAAAGTGCTTTAGAGTCCTTTGAAGAGAGACACGCTAAGAAATCCAAGATATTTACTTACTTATTATTAAACTTAAATGATAATCCTATGCTATTGTAAGGGCTTTTTTCTGAAAACCTAATTATCACGGAGGGCTTTCTTTCAAGAAATTCCTAACCTTTTGACAATGTCCAGCTGAGCAACAGCTGTTAAAATAAACTTCAGAAGAGTCTGTGTTTAATTGTTTGTATATATGGATACATGCACGTGTGTGCTATAATGCAGGGTGTGAGGGAGAGTATGGCGAAAGTGTGGCCTAGCTAGTACAGAGGCATAAGAGCATCCAAATGCCCCTTCACACTTCAGCACTGGCTAGCCACATCATAGGTAGCAGTATGGGAGGGGCAGAGGACTCTGTAGAGCTCCTACTTCCCCTCTCGTGCCGGTGAACTGGAGGGGGAGAACAGAGGAGGCACAGGGTATAGCTGCACCAGCATGCAGGGGAACCTACACTGCATTGGCTCTAGACCTGGCACAGTTTACTCCCTCTTTGCTGCAATGGCAGAACCAGGGGCCAACTAAAAGTCTGCTCCCAGTGCAGCACAAAATACATTTCCCCTTACTCTCGACTCATGGCAAAGGCATGAATGAGCCCATGAGATTGAGTGAAAATATCAGATGTATGTGTAAAGATTAGCTTTGGCGTCTTGATGGAGTGAATGACAGATGCTGAATAAAAGTAAATCTTGTCATTTCATTTATATTGTACACCATTTAACTTCTACCACCTCTTCTGATCTGTTCTCATTCCTTAAAATGAAGTTTGAATACTACTATCTGATAAATATGTCTGATTCAGCCATTCTTAAAAACAACTGCTCTAAATTTTTGTAGGGAGAGTTGTCTATGAAAATAGATTAGCTTCTACTTGTTCAGGAAATGATAACTGGTATTGGATACAGTAGGGGGAATATTCATCTGTTACCCAAACGCTAGACCTTTCCTGAGGTCCAAGGGTATTTAGGGGGAAAAAATGAATATAGGAGAGAGATTCCCATCTGGGTTGATTTAAAAACTCTGGGGATAAATTGTCCTAAAGCTACTTCTATTTTAAGGCCACTTTACTTGGTCAATGATGAAAGTAAAATACTAAAGAAAAGCTCCTGATTGCACATAAACAAGGCTATGTTGTGCCTCTTAGGAAATGCCAGAGATGGGACATGTAGTGCACTTTCCATCCCAATTATTTTTGCTTTGACACTGTAAAGAAAAATTTGTGCATGATAGAAAATGAAAAACCCTTCTGTTTTGTTTCCAGAGGTGGTTTTTTAGTACACAATAGGCAAAGGTGGCTTCCAGAGTATTTTCTAACTAAGTTTAAAATACTTCACTTGCTTAAGATTTAATTGCGTACTTGCTTGTATAAAAATTCCACCATCTATACAAAAACAAGAATGCATTTGCATTTCATCAGCTATGATTGTAGTTCCATTAGCTGCTACGTGCTGGTCCCTAGGCCATGAGTCATTGTCACATACTGGAGTGATTGTTACTTTTCTCAGCAACTGGATGGTACAAACAACCTACCGTAAGCTGCTGAACACATACTGCATCACTCTGCTGTAAAACAAGTGAATCATTCTGCGAAGGAAACCTGACTTCCTACCACATCAGGAAGATTTTCTTTAACAAAAAGTTATTGTGAATCCCCTGATATTAAATAATTAATAATAATTACTCCAGCTAGCCTGGAATAGTTTCTGTTGGCTTTTAAGTAAAGCATTTTATTGATTGTGTTTTAACTAACAATTGGGACTATTTTAATTTTATTAACGTGATCTATAATTGCATCTGACACAAGCAGAAGGCATGGGTAAAATCCTGGTCCCATTGAAGTCAACGGTAAAAATCGCATTGACTTCATTAGGGCCCAAATTTCACTCTGTGTCTGTGGTAGTTGTTTCTAACATCTTAGTTTTTGTGGGTGGGGAGGTGGGGAATTCCATCACCAGAAATTCAATAGCAGAAAGAATCCATTTGCAGAGTATACTGGGATTACTACACTACAATGATGTCTGTAATATTTATAGTCATATGGTTCGTTGTTTGCCTGAAAATTACTTAATTCAAAATGAAAATGAACTTATATAGCAAATGTAGTCAATTCCATTCCAGTTAGTTTTGAGTGGGGTTGATGTGATGTGCAGTATTTTGCAGTATGTATGTTTATATTTTAAACAGTTGTTACATTTGAGGGAAACCAGGAAAGTGTTTATAAAGATCAGCCATGTAACAATGGCTTTCTTAAGAAATGTACAGTGTTATCTTGAAAATGTGTTTAGCTTCTATTAATCATGCTGAGATGGGGGGAACAAAAAACCTGATGCTGCAGCAGTGAAAGGTGTTGCTTTGTGTGGTCCTGGCAAGATTTCTATTAATAGCACGTGTAGTTGATTATGATGCTGAAAGGCGTGTACAACCAATGAGATAAACTGCCACTGTAAGTGTATGTGGGTCCCTCCAGACTGTCAACTCAATTGATAGAGAGGGAGAGTAGATACCCACCACCTTCCAGAAATATGAGCAGTAACAATCTGGAGATAAGCCTAGTAGTAGCTTCTGTTGTCATTCCATTCATTGTGGTTGTCATCATTATTGTAGTTAAAAGAGATGCACTAATGCAGATGTTTAGAAGGCTAGTTAACACAGACTCTCAAACAAAAGAGGTACAAGTTGCTGCTGCTATTGATGATGGTGATCATGATTCACAGCACCCCTATGAGGATGACAGCATTAGTTCTGAGGAAATGGGAGAAAACCCAGATACCCTATCAAGTACATCTTTAAGGCAGGGAAAATAGAAATAACCTATGTATTGATGCAATAAATAAGGAACAAGTAATGAGTTCTAATATAAGTATATTTACATTAAAAGTATATAAATACAAAGGTCTTGCAATATGGCCCTGGTCCAGATAAGCACATAAGCATATGTTTAACTTAAAGCACGTTAACTGAACCAATGGGACAATTCTCATGCTCAGAGTGAAGCATGTGCCCGTTTGGAGTCTTTGACTTTTACCACCTTACTCTTATGAAGTTTTAATTTTATAACTTCCTTGTGCACTGAAAAGTTGTGCAGAAAGAATATTTTAAAAGAGCAAAGAAAAACAGAAAAGAACACTAGAAGTGTGAAAGATGAGAACTAGTTATTAATATACTCAGTCACTGGAACAGATTGTGAACCCAGACAGAGGCAGATCATAAATGCTATTAACATGGTATTTATGTAAATTTATTTTCTTTTTTTAATCATTGTAACTTTGACCTTTTATTGTCATTTATTAAAAATTTAAATTGGGTGTTTTGTTTGGAAAAAACGTGTGATTTCCATTATTTTGTAGCCTATTGTGATAAATACATCTAGAACTCTGTATTTTTGTTCTCATTTATAGATGGATGTCTTGTAGCCTATCAACAAATCCTGCTACTGCTGCATGTGTGGCAGCACTTCTACATGATCACATGACTCTTGATATGGACGCGGTCCTGTCAGACTTTGTTCGGTCCACAGGGGCAGAACCAGGTCTGGCAAGAGACCTGCTGGAAGGTAAGCATGCCCCATAAACCTGTGGCCCCTTTTCCTCATATTCAGTACTTTCATGCTGTGGTCAATAAAATGTAAACCAGTCTTTTAAAGCTTCTAGTGTAGTCTGTTAAATCACTGATTCCTTTGTGCCAACAATCCAATACTCCTGGCAGTTTAATCACACAAGATTGCACCAGTACAGCTGTTTTCAGCAAAGGCCTTAGAAAATCTCTTATTGTGGTAGAAGCTACATTCTAGATTACTTATAATCTTACCTAAAAAGTGAGGCAAAAGGCTTTCATCTAGATTTATACTCTGTCATTTTGAGCTGCCTGCCATGCTCATCAGTCATCAAAAGAAATTCTGAGAGTATGAAAGAATGGTTTCATTAGTTACTTTAAGCTTCTAATATGGAAAACCATACTGAATTTTGAGTGTGTCATGTTAGTTAATAGTAAGAGAAATGAGGATTGGTTTTGAGTGTGTCTTCTAATCTGGGTGGCTGTAGGTGCTGCCAAGTGTGGACAGTTATAGATGTTTTGATGTGATGTATATAAAATGCCCACACGCCAAGGGCAAATTTTTTTTTCCTCGTATAGCCAAAGTTCAACATATACTGAGCACCTACTACGTGTTTTTAAAATGTACTGGTGAATATTTCTCCTGTTCATAATAGTAGATCAGTGTAATAGTAGCTGGGCTTGAATAGTATTTATTTTAGTGTTATGTATTGTAATGTATCTTTACTCCAGGTTTTTTAAGTAATAAGGAACGATACAGTAGTAACTCTGACGTGTATACGATGTGGAGTGCAGTTTTATAATATGTCATACTTGTTTTGTTACCAAAGTCTTCTATCTGTGTTACATAAAAATAAGTCCTTCGAATGTGTAACTGAGAATATTCTCCTTAGCACTCACTAAATGTAACAAAAGATCTTTGTCTGATTTGATCAACCTGCCATTCTGGGCTGAAGTCCATCATTATCTTCATGACATGGCAATCCACCCAGGTTCACTTAGGGAGTGGAAGGATTGGGCCCCATCTTAGTGGGGCTACTCATGGAGTAAAGTACTACTCACTGTGAGTCAGGGTGCAGAACTGGGCCCTTCATGAGGACTTGAGGGTTCTTTAATAAATTCAGTACTAAGAGCTCTGTCCAGTGGTAATGTTATGAGGCTCTCTGGGTGCGTGCCAGGCTGACTTGTACAGGGACAAGACTGACTAGGTGACATAGGAATTAAAAAGCAAAAATAGCTGAGATGCTTGTGCATGAGGGATATCACATGCATTTCCCAGTAGCCCACAAGCAGCAGGACTTACTGTTCATATCTGTATTCCTTGGGGTAGAAGAAAAGTTTAAGGATTTTTTGCTAGTTCTTTTAAACATATATGGGGTTACTCTCCCCCACCCCCAAATCCCTGTGTGGGCTGATAGAGGAGACTCCTCGAGTACTTCCCACTCCATATTCTTCTTACGTAGCTGGGGAGCCTATCAGTTGGCACAGTGGTGGTGGCAGGGGGGGTTATCTTTTCTTTCCTTTGCATCCCTGGTCATCTCCTTCACAGAGAGTGAATCTCCTCAGCTGAGTGTTAGCTGGAGCTGTCATTCAGTGAGAGGGTTTACAGCCAAGTGTCTCGTTAAAAATTCCTCATTGTTATAAATGCTATGTGTGTATAAGGAGGCCTCTGAAATCTATTAGTGGACAAACTTATTTGCATCTTAGGGCTTCCTTAAAAGGGATATGATCACCCCTTTCTTAGCAAAAGGCAGGTAGTTTTGTTATTTACTGTGGGTGCATAGTGTTGTCTAGAAGTTGGAGTACGTGTCTGGGAGAGGCAGGATTCTGGTTGACTTTGTGTCATCTCTGCCTTGTTTTCTTCATCTGTGGAAAGGGAATGTACCTACAAAACTAACGTTTGCGATGTGCTTTGCAAACTTTGATCAAAGGCTGTATAGAAGTAATGTTGTCATTGGTGGGGTTGGTGATTTATGACCATTGGGGTTGGTGAATAAAGCTATACTGAAAAGACTAACAAAGAAGTGGGCAACAAGTGGTTTAATTATTCTTAACAGTCTAATTCATAGTGTTTAACTTTATTAACATTTGACATAAACGCCAAATTCTGAGTATTTCCTCTCACACAGGAATTTTCTCAAGCTTATGAAGGTAAAAAGAAAATCTGGGGGGTTTAAGATGTTCTCAAAAGGACTTTTCGGCACATAAGGACATGGCAGCAGCTTGCTGTAACAGCAGTAGTATTGCCCAGGATCTTATGCTGGGTAGTAGTTTTACTTCCCAGTTCCTTATCCGCTTTTCAGTTCCCATATCACTCCCCATTTTCTCTAATTTCACTAATAATTTCCCATGTATCAAATGCCTTACTGAAATCCAGGTAGATTAGACCTACTACATTTCCTTTGTCTAAAAAAATCAGTTATCTTCTCAAAGAAAGAGATAAGGTTGGTCTGGCACAATCTACCCTTTGTAAAACCATGTTGTGTTTTATCCCAATTACCATTTATTTCTATGTACTTAATTACTTTCTCTTTCAAAATTTGTTCCAAGACGTTGCATACAATTGCAGTCAAACTAATGGGCCTGTTGTTTCTCAGGTTATTTTTTTCCTTTGTTAAAAATAGGTAGTATATTAGCTCCAGTCATAGGGTACAACCCCCAAATTTATGGATTCATTAAAAATCCTTGCTAATGGTCTTGCAATTCCATGTGCCAGTTCCTTTAATATTCTTGGATGGGCCCCCCCCCGATTTGGTCCCATTAAGCTGTTTGAGTTTGACTTCCACCTCAGATGTGGTCATTTCTACTTCCATATCCTCATTTCCATTAGTCACCCTGCCACAACCCCTAAGCTCCTCATTATCTTTGTTAAAAACGGAGGCAAAGTATTCGCTTTAGATGTTGCACCATGCCGAGATCTTTAATCACTACCCCATCCGCAGTACTTAGTGGTCCCACTTCTTCTTTCCTTGTTTTCTTTTTATTTATATGACTATGTGATCATTTACTATTGGTTTTAATTCCCTTTGCAAGGTCCAACTCTGCTTGGCTTTTGGCAGTTCTTACTTTTCCCCTACCCTTTCTGACCTCCAAGAGAGAGCTTTTCTTGCTGATCCCTCCCATCTTCCATTCCTTGTAGTCTTTCTGCTTTCTCTTAATAATTTGTTTGAGATGTTTGTACATCCAGTTTCTTCTGCAACCCTTACCAATGAGTTTTTCCACTTGCTTGGGATGCCGCCTTCAGATAGCTTCTGCAACTTTGGCTCAAAGCAATTCCAAGCTTTCTAAACATTCATATCCTTGAGTTCTTCAATTCAGTTGACTTCCCCAACCTATTTCCTAATTTTTTTAAAAGTTTGCCATTTTGAAATCAAGGACCCTAGTTGCAGAGCTATTGTTGTTTATCCTTCCATCTAGATTAAACTGAATTAGCTCATGATCACTCAAACCAAGGCTGTCCTCTACAGCCAGCTCTTCTATGAGGTCCTTTCTACTTATCAACACTAAATCTAAAATGGCACCTCCTCTTGTTGGTTTGGTGACTATTTAGTGAAGAAATCTGTCAGCTATCACATCCAGGGATATTTGGGCTCTATCATTAATTAGTAGTGTGTGTCCTCCAAGCTATAGCTGGGAAATTAATGTCTCCCATAATCACACAATTCCCAGTTATTTATTTCATTAAAAATATTAGAAGCCTCTATTCATATCCGTAGCAGATCCCACGCACTATCCCAGTGGAGCCTATTTTACCTTTCTTCCCCAAAGTGATTTTGACCCAAAGAGATTCTGTTTTATCCATTCCATCACTTCTAATTTCTTTACAGTCTACCTCATTGTTAATATACAATGCTACTACACCACCTTTACCTTTATTTCTGTCTTTCTTGACCAAAACATACCCTTCAATACCTGTGCTCCAGTCATGACTGCTATTCCACCATGTTTCTGTTTATCCCTATAATATCTGGTTTCACTTCCTGCACCAGTAGTTTTAGTTTCTTCACTTTGTTACCCAGGCTCCTTGCATTGGTGTGTAGCCATCTTAGTTGTTTCTGTTTGCCTTTGCGCAGATTCCTCTCCCAGTTAGGTATAGTCATGGTACTTCCAGTATTGCCTACCTGACTGTTACTGTCAGGGGTGTTGGCACTGTCTTTCCTCTTGTTGTCTATTCTCATACCTCTGATGCTCCTTTATCTCTTCCTGTATCTTCAACCTTTATCTCTTCCTGTATCTTCAATTATGTGATTTTCCTCCTGCTCAATGTTAGAATCAGGCATCAAGATTACATGAACATCTCCCCTGAATTCCTAGTTTAAAGTTCTTTTAATCAGTCGTGCCAACCTCCATCCCAGAATTCTATTTTCCTCTCTACTTGAGTGGAGCCCATCCCATGAGAACAGTCCCTGTGAATGCCTCCCAGTAATTGAACATCTCAAAGCCCTCCTTCTAGCAACACAGCCGGAGCCATCTGTTGATCATCATAATCTTGTCTCACCTTCACTCTCCTCCTTTAGGGACAGGAAGAATCCCACTGAAAATCACCTGAGCCTCCATTTCTTTAACATCTTCCCTAGCCTGCTGTAGTCAGCCTTGATGCGTTCCAGCAAGAATCTAGCTATATCATTTGTTCCCACGTGAAGGCGGTCTCACAGTCCCAAAAACAGACCATACGTAGGTGCTGTAGCATCCTTATTAACCCCTGTAGTATTGCTTTGACAAATGTATATGCTGCTTTGAGAAATCACTGTCTCCTGCTCCTACCTACCTGAAATGTTAATAGATTTGCCTGGAATTTCCAAGTTGTATGTTTTTCATCCCTACTTCTACTGCTGAGTGAATAATTCACAGTGAAGAACTTACACAATGAGCTTACCTCTCCTCCCAGACTTTGTGAGGGCAGTTGGCAGATTTCTCTCCTCTCTTTATAATTTGAACTTAATCCACAAATGTTTTTGTTTTACTTTTTAACTTAGTGGATTGATTTCTAACAGTACACTG